CTGTTCACTGTTCATGGTCAGCTGAAGGACAGAAAATTGGTCTTGTAGGATTCACTATAAAATGTTCACATGTGGGATGGGCACAGATTATATATTTTTATATCAGCAAAGACAGCCTTTTTAAATATCCCAGTACTGTAGGTGTCCTAGACACCCAACCAGAGCTTAGTGATGACATTCATGAATCACCCTGAGGTGCCAGAATGGTATTGATTTTAAGCCCATTAATTAACAGTTCTGACTAATATTCAGTTAACACCTCAGTTCACTTAGTGTGTTTATTGTACAGAAAAACAAATAATGTTTCTGTTCCAGTTGAATGTTTCTGTTGCTAAAACATGTCAATTCATGTATCTGAGTTTGGGAACAGTTCATTTCTTCTGCATTAGTCTAAAAGGTGGAAGTGCACTACAGTCAACATGCAACATTGCTATTAAAGCTGCACAGATAATTCAGAATCTAAAGTGTGCCAATGCGCTCTCACACCCACCTCATAAAAAGGATGAGGAAGTCAATGGGGTGCTTCATTCATAATGGTACTATAATGTAATTAAAATTGGAAGGGGGGAAAAATGTGGGTACACCTTTCCACTTGTAATGAGAGCATGCTTCGTGGAAGAGCTAAAACGCATATTATGGAACCATGAGATCTTTGTAGAGATAAAGACAGGAGTGGGGGGAAAACATCTGACAGTGAGTCCACACAATTAAATGCTTTAATTATAGTCCCCCTCCATTTCCTTTAGTCCTGATGGGTTTTATCTAATGAGATCTGGTCCCTGGCTTGTATCCGCTCCCAATGACGTGTCCGAAATGAATGAGAGCCACACTGCAAACAAAACATTTAATTAACCAAATTGGCTTTTGAGAGAGAGCAAGGGAGAAAGACAGATAGAGAAGAGGGATTATTGCGAAGGCCATTTGCTGCTGTTTTTCCCCTCTCATCTTAAAGGGACAGATTCATTTTTGTAATAGACTGCTAAGCTGCCAGTATGACATACTCTGTCATATCATAGCTGTAGCTCCAAACTTATATAAATACAGCTGATATGAAAGTGTTCATCTGATTGATCAGGAGCAGAAACACGTCACATCACACCCATTATGGCTTACGTTGCCACCCATCTCCCATCAGTCAAGCAGGAATATTCCCAAACATCACAGGAGATGTGCCAGCTTTGTTTTTCATGCAGCGCCACCCAAAGCGTTAATGCCAGTCTTAAAGCCAAAGTTGCATTCACTGTGGGGATCATGTTGTTTTAAGCTGGAGGTGATATTATTTCTGTGGGCTGCTAGTAGAGGGAGAATTAATTTACTTGTGGCTGCTGGATTCAGGCAGAATGCTGTCCCCTTAATTGAATAAGCCTAGGTAATTAAATGGCACTTTTCCAATAGAATGTGTGAGGTAAATCTAATAGTTGGTTATTTAATATCACTTTGAAGCCTGCCCACTCAAGCACTATGACAGCACAAGAGAATGTGAACTATTAGGCCAGGAAAAAACTGGGATCTCAGAAATTAATTAAATCGCATGCAATTTAGGGGAAACGTTTATCTTGATTTGTCATAACAGAATTAATTCAAGGCCTTCAATTCACTTGGGGCCAGATCTGTTACTCTGAATTAACCAAGTGTAATTTGGCTGATCCACCCCCACCCCCACCCACCTCACCATCCCCCTCTTCCCAAAACACATGCACAGCTCTGATCCACGCACACCCTCCCTCATGCTCGCAATCTCCCCACCCCACCCCGCCCCGGCCCCCTACACCCTTTTCTCTAATGCAGCTCTTGCCATTATGCAAAGCCCTGCTTCAGTATCAATATGTCCTAGTGCTTTTAAGGTGCTTTGGCTGCTGATGTAGAGAGGCATTTTTAATGGACTGTGTTGCAGAAATCATTGTTGTGGGGTAATTTTACCCTACTCAAAGGCCTTGGTGAATGAGGTCTGCATTTACCAGACAGCCCAGCAACAAGCCATGCTATATTTCACCTGGCAGTCAGTGCTGAAATGAAATCCAATAGTCATTGCCTATACAGACAACAGACAGCTCCAAATGTGTTTTTTGTTTGTTATTTAATTGAATCAAACATGTTGGCTAGAGCTAAGTCAGATCCACAGGGGGGAAGGAAACAGATAAATCAAGATCAATCCTCCAGAAACATAGTAAGAACTACAGATTTTTTTAAGGAGGGGAAAAAGCAGAAGCCAGATGTGTCATTGCAATTAAGGAGTCCCTTGGCCTTAATTATACTGACCTGGGATGTCTGCTTCACCTTGGTGCTGTAGTTCACTGGCAGAACAGGCCATTAGAGCCCAAGTTCAAACATATATAGCAGTTTAATTGCACACCTAAAGGCTTTGGCTCCTTAAATCAAATACTATCAAGAGCTATCTCCTGGTTAAAGAAAAATAATCAGCCTGGCATGTGTTCCAGACTGTGGTGAAATACAAAAGGCTGTGGTGAAGACGCCTTGTCGTCTTTGTTTCGACACCTCTCAGAAGCAGAGGCGACTCCTCGAGGGCTGAATCCAACATGAACACGAGGAGCACGCTTTCACTTTGGGAAAAGTTATTTTGGAATGAGGCAACTTTGATATGCAGAAATGTCTTTGCAGGAGATGTGTACTTTTGCTTCTCCACACACACACAGGCACGTGCACACACTGCACGAGCACCACAGTCTTAAAGCAGGGCCTATATGTTCATTTCCACTATCACGTCTGTCCCAGTGAAAGCAGAGAATTGGCAGTGTTGTGACGACAGTCTCCAGTTAATTAGTTTCTGAAATTGAGTTTTGATGGAGCCTTTCCAAATGATGCCAAGACAAAATTTGCTTCTGCCTAGCCTGTCTTATTGAAAGCCATTTCTATGTCCCTTTGCAAAGAGCGCTGGCTTGTTTGTTCATCAATATATCCAGCAACTGCTTGTCTTGGGCTGGTTGAAGCATTTTATGTTAAATACTCCTCATAAAAATTGTCCATATGAATGTCTGAAGAGAAAAAAAAAACATAAATCTTACAACACTTTCCTCATTTTCTTTTCCTTGTTAATTTTTTTAAGCCAAACACCTTTTATCTGATGTGCACGCATCAGTGTTAACCACTCCCCCCCCATCCCTTTCTTTTTCCATCCCTCTCCTCCCTCTATCCCCTTCTCTCTCTGGAGCATGTCAGATGCTGTGGTCTTATTTGATTGCTTAGGAAAAGTGCAGTGATAGAGCAAACACCCGGTGAGATATGATGACAAATGGGTCCAGATCCCAGTAAATTACTTTCTGCTCAAATCGAAATTTCATTCAGTTTGCTGCTCACCGAGATGAAGTAATCTAAATTGTGGACTCAGAAGGAAGATAGAAGGGAAGCTGGAGCAAGCATTTCATTATCAAGAGGCGGGG